GTGTGTGTGTGAGAGAGAGTGTGTGGGTGTGTGAGAGAGAGAGAGTGTGTGAGTGTGTGTTTGTGTGTGAGAGAGAGTGTGTGTGTGTGAGAGAGAGTGTGTGTGTGTGCGCGTGCGTGTGCATGAGGGCTTTTTATTTTCAGGAATTGTAAACATGAGTTTGGTTCTGAGTCTGATGTTTGCTAGAAGAAATGCAATCGACCGTCTTGTCCTGTGTGTGTTTTATGCAGAGTTGAATGTGTTTTTTATACTCGCTTCTCTGTCAGGCTTCATTCTGAACTTTGCAAGTAGCGCCAGTAAGAAGATCTCGGAGTCTGTGGCGGAGACGGCTCAAACTATCAAGAAAACGGTGGAGGAGAGCAACATCGACGGCATCATCGACAAGGTACATCGCAGAGAGATGAGTTTGTTTTCAGGACGGTGATGGTGAAATAGAACAGTTCTGTTTGAAATACTAAAGGCATGTTCTTAGAAATGTAATTTTTTTAATAAAACTGTATCATGAACTGTATCATTTTTATTGTGATTTTTAAAAAAAAGTATAACTTTATTATACAACTTATAACTAAAATCTTAGATTTTTCATGTTAAATTTAAGAGTGACTATTAATCTTGTGTCATTGCCATTAATACAAAAAAAAATACTTCAATTTTTTAATTGTAATACTTTTTTTTATTTTAACATTTTTAAATGTAATAAAATGAACTTGAATTTAAAAATGTAAAATGTTTATCATTGATGAAGTTTCTGTTAGTCACTGTCTGAATGAAAAGCATTGTACTTTGGTTTTAAAATTAAGGGACAAATCTAAAAATTTACTTTTATATATTTTTGTTAATATTTTGAAAAGTTTTAGTAATTTTGTTGTGTGTGTGTTTTTTTTGTCACTACGTCTATATACTTTTATTAATATTTTTTAATAATTTTTTTTATATATTTTCTTTTTTCATTTTAGTGTGATTTTTGTTGTGCGTTTTTCCATTTTTTTAAGGTTATTTATAAGTTTTATCTTTTATCTTTTTTATTTTTATGCTTTTATTTTAATTTGTTAGTTTTAGTAATACAGATGTAGATTTTGCATTAATGTTAGTTAAAATTTTAGTAATTTTGTGATTGTTTGTTTTCATATTTATTATTTTTATGAATTACTTCTAGTTAATTTAGCACTACAGCTTCATTACTGCCTTAGCAGCTAGATTAGACAACACACATTTCAGTTAAAGTTTATTATATTTCAGTGATTTATTTATTTATGTATTGGTTCCAGTTAAGGATAATAACCCTGATTCAGACCAATAAATATGAGCTTGTTGCATCTCTGACTCGATTCTCTTTCAGACCATTTTGGGAGATTTTCAGAAGGAGCAAGAAAAATTTGTCCAGGAGAAAAATGCAAGGAAAACGGGTATGGACATAAATGCATGCATCTGTGACTTTGTACAGCTATGTTAAAGCAAAATCTTTTTATGCATTTATGTATTTTCTCAATCTTTTGTCCACAGATGCCGCGGTGCCGCCCTGGGTCGGATACAACGAGGAGGAAACCATTCAGCAGCAGATACTCGCTTTATCCGCTGTGAGCTTTACTCCATATTTAATGATTAGTACACTATGAAAACATACAGTGCTTCATTTATTAGACCACCTGTCATAATAAAGAGAAAACACAAATATTTTAGAAATCTGTCAAAAAACGGTTTAAATCTAAAAATGTCATTGTCATTTATTGGGCAAATAACAAACTGAAACAAATAGTATGTATTCACATAATAACAAGAATCTTTCACAACAGCTTGCATGCTTGCTGGCATTGTTTAGGTACGTTCTGACTGTAATTGTGCATCTGGAAAAACACTATAAAGTGCTTGGCTGTTTTTTTCTGCCTTTCTTTCATAGACAGCAATAATCATATTATAGCGTTAGAAATAGCCTACTACTGCTACTACAGAGCTTACACAAACTGGAGGACTAACTAATACAGAAAGCTAGAAAATGATTTTGGTAATCACCAGTACTGTTAGTTTAGAGCAGCAGTGGCACAAACCGTGCATAATTAGTTAAAAACCTTACGTAAATGTGTCAAGCACTGTATATAGTGAATCTAGATGAAATCTCGGTGGATGTGACGGTAAACGGAAGGTTTTTGCGCTGAGGAGGACGCACACACGTCTGACAGCAAGACATTACGCTAATGCATTACGTTAGTTTAAAGCTGAAAATAAAGATTTTGGTGTTTTGGGCAGCTTGCGTCACGCACTTCTCCTGCAGCATCTCATTCTGTTTCCTCCACTGTTTTTAGATGCATTTGCTCCATAGAAATGCGTAATTCAGTGCTGTGATTTAATTAATAGTGCACTGTGAGCAGACCCGACTAATGGATAATGAGAATCGTTGTCGATTATTTTCATTATTGATAATAATCGATTAGTTGTTGCAGCCCTATCCTCAGATCACTTTAAAGTTTAAACCAAAACTGCATGACTGAATTTTTTTTTGTTGTATTTTTTTGTCGTTCAGGACAAGAGGAACTTCCTGCGCGACCCTCCGGCCGGAGTGCAGTTCCAGTTCGACTTTGAGCAGATGTACGCCGTGGCTCTGGTGATGCTGCAGGAAGACGAGCTGCTCAACAGGATGCGCTTTGACCTCGTCCCCAAACAGTGAGAGTCTGCTCCGTTAATGCCCTGTTTATTCATGCCTGGACTGTGAGAGCAGACGAGTGTGTGTGTGTGTGTGTGTGTGTGTGTGTGTGTGTGTGTGTGTGTGAGTGTGAGTGTGTGACTATGTGTGTGTCTGTCTGTCTCTGTGTGTGTGAGAGTGTGTGTGAGTGTGTGATTGTGAGTGTGACTGTGTGTGTGTGTCTGTCTGTCTGTCTCTGTGTGTGTGTGTGTGTCTGTGTGTGTGTGTGTGTGAGAGAGTGTGAGTGTGTTTGTCTGTCTCTGTGTGAGTGTGTGTGAGAGTGTGAGAGTTTGTGTGTGAGTGTGACTGTGTGTGTGTCTGTCTGTCTGTCTCAGTGTGAGTGTGAGTGTGAGTGTGAGTGTGAGTGTGTGTGTGTGTTACTTTACTGTAAACATTCACTGAAATAAAATAAAATGTCAAATAAACGTGATCTTTAAATACTCTCATTTTCATTTAATGAAGCTTAATATAATAAAATAAACTAAAACTGATCAAAAATATGTAGACATTAAAAAAAAAACTAAAATACAAAAGACAGTTGTTTTAGTATCATCAGTATTACTAATATTGTTTTTGGGAATATTTTGAAATAGATGTTATTTTAATATTTTCTGTTTTCAATCTAATTTTAGCTAATGTTTTATTAATGTTGTTTTTGGTTTTTGTCAATTTTTTTAAAATAATTTTTTCCCAATATGTCTATATTTTTATTACGTTTTGGTTTATTACTTTTAGTTATTTTTTTTACTTATTATTAAAAGAAAATTAGAAATATTGCCGTGGCAATAAATAAAATAAGTCTTAAGGCTTTTCTTTTTCTTTCATTTTTTTTGAAAGTCATGAATTTTTTATTTTTTTTATGGTTTAGTATTAGTTAGCAATAAAACCCTGCAACAAAATGAATTAACTTTAAAAAATAACTAAAATCAAATAAAAAAAAAACTATGTAGACTTATAAAAAAGCTATTAAAAATGACAAGAAACAACAAAATTACAAAAAATTTAAAGATAATGTAAAGATAAAAACGAATTAAATGTATTTTAATATTAATGATAACTATAACAGAATCTCATAACATTGATACAATATAATGAAATATAAAGGAAATGAAATGTACACAAAAAGCAGCTATAGCAATTTATTTGAAATCTACACAATATTTACACATTTCAAATTATGAATTGTTGGATATCCATTCATAAGGCTGTGGATAGATTTTGACTCTCGTCATAAATAGTAACGTCATTGTTTAGAGTCTCGGAAAAGGAAATAAACATGTATTTTCCTGCTCACAGAGACCATCAGACCGAAAACACCGCCTGTGGCCATCAGCGCTAAAGCCAAGAGCAACGAGGTAGCGTCTTGACCTTTTGCTTGACTTTGAATTTTTCAGAAATGTGTTTCAATGTGTTTCTCAGTCAGAAGGAAAGAAATGAGTCGTTTTACAATTAAGATCGACCATAAGGCAATAGAAGCAGCTATTGATTTTACATTTTTAGGTGTTATTTTGGATTCTCAGTTCAAATTCGATGTGCATGTATAGAGGCTTTGTAAAACCATCACAACAAACCTGAATTGCTTTTATATGATTAGACCGTATCTATCACTTAGAGCAGCTAAGTTATATATGCATGCATATGTAAATTAACTTAAGTTAAATTAAATTATACAAGAAATCAATCAGATGGCATCATTGCAACATTTGACAAAAATACAATTTGCTTAGTTTTGACAAGTTTATGAATCTGTTTCTTATTAAAATGGTTTTTAAATGTGTCGGTATAAGCTTGCTCCAGCTATTATATGTCAATTAATAGTAAAACAGAGTAGTAGAGGGATCACTACAAGAGGTGCAACTACACAGAACTGTATAGTGCCTAAGAGAAAAACAAGTTAAAGGTTAAAGGGACACTGCTCTGGAACAGTTTTCTGGAACATGTTCAGAGTTGGAACATCTTTCTGAGAAATATAAAAAAAATGGTTCAAACAAAAACAGGTTTGTGAGCATTGATGGTTCTTGGATTTTTGTTACGTTTGCTGTACTTGATACTTTACATTCTTTATGCATTTTTTTAATTGTGTTTTAAAAGCCTAACCAGGGACTGGGGCTGCAAATTAGCCATTGGCTAGAAGCCTGTATGTAGAGCATCTGCAACAACTAAATAATATAAAATGAAACCTAAGCGCCTCTGTTCTCTGTGCTAGCAGGAGGAGGAGGACATCTCCACCAGCCCTGGCGTGTCTGAGTTCGTGAGCGACGCGTTCGACGCCTGCGATATAAACCAGGAGGATCTGAGGAAAGAGATGGAGCAGCTGGTGCTGGATAAGAAAGATGGTGAGTTTGATCACTGTTATACAGCCTGCTGTAGCTTTAACATGCACCTGGTTCAAAATCCTGCTGTCCAAGAAAAACACTTCCAAATGACCTGCTCTTATCATCTGATCGTGGTTGTATCTCTCTATTAGTGCTAATGGATCTTAGCGCTGCATTCGACACTATCGACCACAACATTCTTTTGAATAGACTAGAAAACTTTGTTGGCATTAGTGGAAATGCATTAGAATGGTTCAAATCGTACCTATCTGACCGCCATCAATTCGTAGCAGTGAATGAAGAGGTATCATATCGATCACAAGTGCAGTATGGAGTGCCTCAAGGCTCAGTACTAGGGCCGTAACTTTTTCACGCTTTACATGTTACCCTTTGGAGATATCATCAGGAAACACAGTGATAGCTTTCACTGTTATGCTGATGATACTCAGCTCTATATTTCTTCGCAGCCCGGCGAAACATACCAATTTGAAAAACTAACGGAATGCATAGTCGATATAAAAAACGAGTAATTTCTTACTGCTAAATTCTGAAAAAACAGAGGGGTTAATAACCTAGAACACTGTCCAGCACTCGCTGGCTGCTCTGTCAATTCTTCGTCATCCGTTAGGAACCTAGGTGTGCTATTTAATAGCAATCTTTCCTTTAAAAGCCACGTTTCTAGCATTTGTAAAACTGCATTTTTCCAAATCTAAATTACGACCTATGCTATCTTCTGTTTTTTCAATTTAATATATAAATGTAATTTAATTTTTGTCTTTTTTATTAACTGTTTAAAATATTTATATGTTTTTAAGTTAGAATTTATTTTTCATTCTGTGTACCACTTTTTAAATAATACCAGGGTGATAATGCTATAATAGTAATAATGTTTTGCATTGTAATGATTCTTCTTTTTGCATACTGATTTTTTCTTTTTTTTAATGTTTTGTTTTTCTCAGAGCAGTGTGGAGTATGATTTTTTTATTTTTTTTTGCATAATGATTTATTTTCTTTTTTGCTGAGACTTTTTGGTGTTTATTTTACTTGTTTTATTTTATTATTATAATTTTTTTTTTTTTTCATTTCATTTTATTAAGACTTCTCTATTTCAAAATCCTGCTTCCTAAGAAAAAGCCTTAAATATTTTGGTTGTTTGCCCCCACGCTATTCTAGTATCATTGATATAGGGCTCGAAATTAGCTTTTTTACTTGTAGCACTGATGCTTCAAGAAGTTAGGAGCCGAGCACCAACAAAAATGTAGGAGCACCCACTGAATATTAAGGAGCATCGCAGCTGCCAGTTGAGAGGAACATCCTGATGATTAAAAGCTTCAGCAATTGAACCTGATCCTGAATTCTTTGTTTCTTGTTAGTAATGCATCAATGTTTCATGGCCAATTCTGATCGCTGATGTTTTAGAAGCGAGTAAAGCTGATTCTGATCTTTAAAATATTTATTTTCTTTCTTTTTTTTAAGCAAGAGACAAGAAAAATTAAAATCTGAGTACATTAATAAGATGTCATTTAAAATTAGAGACAACCACAGTAGTAGTAGTATATTTTTATTTAACGCTATGTCAGCATCTTAGGCTATTTTCATGGCCAAAACAATTTTAAAAATACAAGTAAAACAAATACAATAAAAACCAGCAAACAAACAAACACACGTTAAATTACACAAGATTTTTTACATTAACATATTCTAAAATATTTCCTGGCAAAATTATACTACATAACTCTTTAAGTGAGTTCATAAAAGAGTTTTCTACATCCTGTACATTAAAAGCGGGACAGTCCGAGACAACCACTGCATTTTAATCCTGATCCAAACAAAGATGCTGCATACATGAGCGGTTTCAGAAGTACATTAGAATGTATTATTTCAAAATCTGAAGCATAAACCGAATGCTCTGACTTTAGCTTTGTGAATTTATGCTACATAAAACATCTGCACGAAACAAAAACAGCAGGCGGCTGAATTCAATTCAAGTTTATTTGTATAGCGCTTTTCACGAAAAAGCAAAGCAGCTTTACAGAAAATTTAAGTTTCTACATTATATTTAGTAATAGCTTATCAGTGGTGACTATCTCAAGTTGATGTCCATAAGGGATGCACCGAGACCACTTTTTCCAGTACTCGGCCGATACCGATACTTTTATTTTTGGTACTTGCCGATACCGAGTACCGATACTGGTGTTTTCATTGTATTTGTACATTTTTTTAAATATTGGGTACAGAAACCAAAAGAATATGTATAGTTATGTTAGTTGGTTAACTTAATTTATCGTATAGATATATCCTTCAGTTATTTTCAAACTTAATTATGCCCATATTTTACAAGTTTTAGTTACTTTCACTGTTAATTTTTTTGCTGTGTGGTACATCATCTTTACTGTAATAGCATTAGAGCTGCTCCATTGCAGCGGCTCAGTACTGTAATCACGCGCTTTGCTGTTATAATGCAGGGAACCACTCGCTATAAATCTTTCAGAAATATAAGTAGCGTTTTTCATCTGAAAGATGCTGCGATTTATATTCCAAAGTGACTCATTTAATGCAGAAACACTCATGAAGCAAGCACATACTTAATTTTTTTATATCCCACTCAGCGTGCTTTGCTTATCTGCTCGCGCACGTCAGCTATACAGGCGTTAATACTGAATGTTTAACATTGCTAATACTTCGTAGACATCCTTAATCTCTAATAACTCCATTCTGCTGTCTGTTGTTCTGTTGTCAGTGTTTCTTTGCGGGGCATTTTAACAAGTACGAGTACAGGAGCCAAGTATCGGGCCCGATATGTATCGGTATCGGTGCATCCCTAGCAGAAATGTACAGTAAAAATCAAGCAGTTAGTTAATGAATGCGATGCAAATTCACTCTCTGACAGCAGGTGGTGCTTATGGAACAGCATTATAACGTTTCCTTGCTTACCGCTGTAAACACAGCAGCTCTGCACTGATTTGTTTAGATTAGAAAAGGTCATTTAAACTTCTCAAGACAATCAGTTCCCCTCAGAAATACATTCATATAGACCCCCACTCACAATAAAATTTCTATATTTCACACAGTGAACAGTGAGGTTGTTTCACAGCTGCAGTATTTTCTTTTCTTTGCGTCCGTCTTCAGTGTCTCTGGCTTCTGCAGTGCAGGGAAAGTGAGTGATTGACGGCTAATATAACCAAATAAAGACAGGTCGCACCACAACAATTATTTGCACTCGCACAAATGCTCCCAAATATATTTTGGGGTCACACAGATTACATTTCGGGAGCATATGTGACCAAAACAGTCCAGTTTCGAGCCCTGTGATATACTGCTATATTGTTTGTTAGAATTTTGAATTGAATTTGAATTTTGTTTTCATTTTTGTTTAGGTTAACGTTATAAAAAAAAATTATTTCGTTTTTGTCATTTTTATTCTTTTTTTATACGTCTATATAATTTTTTATGAAATAACATTTTTTAATTTTAGTTTTAGTTTTAGTTATTGAAGTACTTTAATTTAAACAAATTAAATTTTTTATTTATTTAAAAAAATAGAAATAGCTGTTAACGTTATAAAAATTATATTGTGTTTTTGTCATTTTTATTCTTTTTTTATGTCTATATAATTTTTTATTAAATTAAAAAAAATTATTTTAGTTTTAGTTATTGAAGTACTTTAATTTAAACAAATACATTTATTTATTTAAAAAAATAGAAATAGCTCTTAATGTTATAAAAATTATATTGTGTTTTTGTCATTTTTATTCGTTTTTTATGTCTATATAATTTATTATTAAATTAACATTTTTAATTTTAGTTTATTTAGTTTTAGTTATTGAAGTACTTTAATTTAAACAAATAAATTTATTTATTTAAAAAAATAGAAATAGCTCTTAATGTTATAAAAATTATATTGTGTTTTTGTCATTTTTATTCGTTTTTTACAGTGAACAGTGAGGTTGTTTCACAGCTGCAGTATTTTCTTTTCTTTGCGTCCGTCTTCAGTGTCTCTGGCTTCTGCAGTGCAGGGAAAGTGAGTGATTGACGGCTAATATAACCAAATAAAGACAGGTCGCACCACAACAATTATTTGCACTCGCACAAATGCTCCCAAATATATTTTGGGGTCACACAGATTACATTTCGGGAGCATATGTGACCAAAACAGTCCAGTTTCGAGCCCTGTGATATACTGCTATATTGTTTGTTAGAATTTTGAATTGAATTTGAATTTTGTTTTCATTTTTGTTTAGGTTAACGTTATAAAAAAAAATTATTTCGTTTTTGTCATTTTTATTCTTTTTTTATACGTCTATATAATTTTTTATGAAATAACATTTTTTAATTTTAGTTTTAGTTTTAGTTATTGAAGTACTTTAATTTAAACAAATTAAATTTTTTATTTATTTAAAAAAATAGAAATAGCTGTTAACGTTATAAAAATTATATTGTGTTTTTGTCATTTTTATTCTTTTTTTATGTCTATATAATTTTTTATTAAATTAAAAAAATTTATTTTAGTTTTAGTTATTGAAGTACTTTAATTTAAACAAATAAATTTATTTATTTAAAAAAATAGAAATAGCTCTTAATGTTATAAAAATTATATTGTGTTTTTGTCATTTTTATTCGTTTTTTATGTCTATATAATTTATTATTAAATTAACATTTTTAATTTTAGTTTATTTAGTTTTAGTTATTGAAGTACTTTAATTTAAACAAATAAATTTATTTATTTAAAAAAATAGAAATAGCTCTTAATGTTATAAAAATTATATTGTGTTTTTGTCATTTTTATTCGTTTTTTATGTCTATATAATTTATTATTAAATTAACATTTTTAATTTTAGTTTATTTAGTTTTAGTTATTGAAGTACTTTAATTTAAACAAATAAAATTAATTTATTTAAAAAAATAGAAATAGCTGAAATGTTTAAATTTTTTTAAATGCTGGAAGGATGTTTATATATGCCACTTTTTAAATACTAATACTATTAATGTTTTGCATCGTAACGCTGCTTTGTAATTATTTGTCTTATTGCATAATCATTTTTAATTAATTTTATTCACTTATTTTAACGATTTTGTATATGCCATAATGATTTTTCTTTTTGCAGAGGCTTTTAAAGATTTTTTTTCTTCCCCAGAGGAAGATGTTTATTGTATTGTATTATTTTATTTTAAATTATTTGACCTTTAAGACCTCTCTATTTCGAAATCCCGCTCTCCAAGAAAAAGTCTTTAATATTTCTCTTGTTTTCCCCATTCGTTCTCCGATAGAAGAGACGGCCGACTGGGAGAAGGAGCTGCAGCAGGAGCTTCAGGAGTACGAGGTGGTCGTCGACCCAGAAAATCGCGACGATAACTGGGACCGTGAGATTGAGGAGATGCTGCAGGACGACAGCTAAAGCGTGACAGCGCCTCCTCTGGTGTGGAGGACACACTCCTGTGCTCAAATGAAGAAATCAGCAGGACGTTTCTACTATTTCCTTAATCTGGACTGAAATATCAGGATTTCCTATAAGAATGTTTAATAAATGTATTGTTAGCAGCAGAGGGATTCGGTGAGGTGCCAACATGCACAGAACAAAGATCGTAATTAGTGAGAACACACAAATCAGATGTAGTTTGCTGATTTATCTTTTATTTCTGACTAATTTCTGCAATGAAGACCTTCTTTCAGAGGCGTACAAGCAAACCGAAACTCAAAACGCTGAACGGTTGTAGTGCTCAAACACTAAAAGCGCACATATCGAGTCCATAAACACTTTAGCGTTGTGTGTAAGCAAACGTTTTAATGGCTTGTCATTCCTTTATTTGTTTTTGGTTGTTGATTCGGTATTTGTGCTCTGATCATCGTCTGGCAGGTTTTTGGTGAAGTTAATGTTTGGTTTCTCTGGAGCGTCTGAAATAAAATTGAATTCCATACACGTTTATTCATGCAACATAACCATATGTTTGTAAGGTGAGAGGTTTAATATAACTTTGTGTTTGTTTGTTTTTTACTTGCACCTTGTCTATCACTTCAAAGCTGAATAATCATGATTTTGCTGCAGTAAATAAAGTCTAAAATTCTCTCTTTTCTATTTTCTCGTTCAGTTTAATACACTGTGCTACATTTACAGTCAGTTTATAATGTAATAATGGAAATTAAAAGAAAAAAGTAACATTTAATGTGTCTTTACTGTTATTCTATATGCATATACCCGTTATTTAATGACATGTTTGTATGCATGTGTGCGTTATTTAATGGCACGCATGCATGTGTTTTTACCGTTTTTACATGTCGTTTGTTCGTCTTGAACACTACACACGTGGACATAATGGCGTTATTCGGGTTGCCAAATGCTTTTGGTCTGCTGAATTCGCCTTCGCTTATCACATTAAACCCAATAGATACCAGAGATACATATATGTTTTTTATGGTGTAGAAACATTCAATTTCATTCAGTGTTCATGTGTTGATAATGCAATTTAAAATTGTTAATACATGCCATTTTTAAATAATAATAATAACAACAAAAACAATGCTTTGCATTGTAACAATTTATGAATAAATCTAGTATGGCACAGGTAGCCATAATGATTTTTTTACTTTCTTTTAAATATTATTTCTGTGTTTTTGTTTTGTTTTTGTTAATGCGTATTGTTTGTGTGTTGTGGAGGGTTATGTTTACATTGTATCGCTGTTCTAATACGTTTCAGGGTTATTATAGTTCACTAAAACGACAACTAAAACCATAAATGAAGCTTTATTTCAAGGCATCATTTCTCACTTTCGTGTAGTTTAACGTCTTGTACTAAAATAACTAAAAACTAAAATAAAAATGAATAAACTATAAACACACACGCACGCACACATAAAGGAGAACTACTAAAAATTACAAAAACAAGCAAGAAGAATTACTAAAACTTTTTAAAAAAATTATATATAAAAAATACGATTTATCGTGATTAATTGCATCCAACATAAAAGTTTTTGTTTACGTTATATATATATATATGTGTGTGATCTGTGTATATTATGTATGTATAACATGCATGTATATATTTAAGAAAAATATGTTATGTTTATATATTAAAAATATTTATATATATAATGTAAATTATATGACTATAAATATATACACGTAAATATTTTCAAAATGCTGTATGTGTGTGTATTTACATAATAAATATACACAACACACATATATTCAGTGTTGGGGAAAGTTACTTTTAAAAGTAATGCATTACAGTATTGCGTTACTCCATAAAAAAGTAACTAATTACGTTACTTTTTATGGAAAGTAGTGCGTTACGTTACTTTTGCGCTACTTTTTAAATCTGGACAGGGCTTGCTTG